GCATTCTTGATTTGAGTATTTTTGAAATTATCTTATAGAGTACTGTACAACATGAAATTGGCCTGAAATCCCTTATGTTTGTTGGATTCTGAATCTTTGGTATCAAGGTAATTGTTGTGCAGTTAATGGCTTTGCACATATCTGTACTTTCAAAGAATTCTTTAACTGCTGCAGTCACTTCCTCCCCCAATATGTGCCATGTTTTCTTGAAGAAGAAAGCATTGTACCCATCACACCCTGGTGCCTTGTTGTCATCAATGTCCATTATAGCTTGTCTCACTTCTTCTCTGGTAACTGGTCTTATTAGCTGCAATTATTGCCTCCTAGTTAGTATATGGCCCTTCTGCATGATCTCAGGATTAACAACTGGCAGTTGTGCTGCCGCAGTACCAAGTAAACCCCTATAGAAGCTTAGGATTTCTTCCTCCACTTCAGCTGGATTTTGTAGGAGTTGCCCAGTTCTAGTGACTAATTTGTTAATGCTATTCCTTGCTTGCCTATTCTTCATGCAAGCATGATAGTAGGCTGTGTTAGAATCACCAAGCCTAAGCCACTATATGTTGGACTTCTGTTTTATAACACTTTCCTCAACCATCAGCCACTTTTCCAAGTCCAACTTTGTAGCTTTTTCAAGAGCTACTGCTTCATCATCTTGACCTGGGGTGTCCAGTTGCTGCTGTATACTTTCTAATCTCCCCTTTGCTGCTTGTATTTGCTTTCTATTCCACTGAACTCTTGCTTATTCAGTTGTTTTAGGGTCCCTTTTAGTGTTTTGAGTTTATTCCACACAAAAACCATGGCAAGTCCTTTTTTGCTGTTCCTCCAGACTTGCCTTACTGTTCCATCAAACTCAGTTAAGCTGGACAAACAGTTGAGAAATTTGAAGTGTCTCATGCCTGCTTGGTTGTTGATTTCAAATCCCACACTTAAGGGACAGTGATCTGAAAAACCTAGACTCATAATGATTCCCTCCATGTAAGGCCATTGTTATATCCATTCTGCATTAACTAGGATTCTGTCAATCCTACTATGGACATGATTATTAGTCCATGTGTACTGCCTACCTATGTTGCTCCGACTCTCCGAAAATTTCGCCGGATACGTGTCGGATCCTCCAAAAGTAGTGTATTTTTGGAGGATCCGACACGGGTGCAGCAGCATTTTGGAGAGTCCGCGCAACATAGCTACCTACCCACAGTCTTCAATTCATCTAATCCTGCATCCACTAGGAACTCCTTGAAATCCCTTATCTCACTCTCCTGCACAGGGTTTCCATTGATTCTATCCTCACTAGTTAAGATAGTATTGAAATCCCCCATTATGAGACAAGGATTGTTCATACCCTGCATTGACACCTTCAATTCCTCCCATGAACTTTTCCTATCTTGACCTGTGTGTTTACCATAAACTGCACAGTAATTGAAACTGGTTCTATGCTGCATCATAGTTACCTTCCCCAGTATAAATTGCTCATGAGTTCTGATCATCAACCAGTCCACCTGAGTTGGATCCCATGCTACCCATATTCTACCACCTGGAGCTTCATTATAGTTGTCAGTCCACCTCCAGTTGTTGAAAGTCTTCTTTATTATTGAGTCTGCATTGCTTTTCTTCACTCTATGTTCTATAATAGCTACCAGTACCACTTTATTGTCCTACAAATTTTTTTAGTTCTTTTTGCTTATATACTTTATTCAAACCTCTCACATTCCATGCTATAATGTTCAACATGATATGGGTGTTTGTTGTGGATCACCTTCCCTAACCTTCTTAGTCTGCTTCTCCCTCACACCTTGGGCTTGAGATAATTGAACTATCTTCTTAGCAGTATCAACTAATGCTTTGAAGGCATTGCCAATGTCCACTTCATTTTCCCTTACCACTTCTGCATCTTCTTTGTAGCAGATTTCCCTCGAGCAAATTGCCACTATGGATCAGCTTCCTGCTTGCTTGATTGCACATTTTTTGCTTCCTCCAATTGATCAAGGAATCTTCCTTGACCATCAATTTTATCTACAGCAGGCTCAAGATTTCTGACTTTCTTCCACTCCTGCTTTTGCTTTATTTCTATACTCTTCTGTATCATTCCTTCCTGCTTTTGCTGCTTCTGATCTCTACAGGAATGGCCTAGTTGGCAACACGTTTGGCAGTACTGTGGCCTCCAATCATACTGAATCATCTGCTCCATCACCTTCCCTCTAAGATCATATAGTTTAATCTTCCCTGGCAAAGGTCTTGTAACATCCATTTCAATTAGAACCCTAGCATATGAGACTCTTTCAGCTATTGTAGTACAAGCATCAGCATACACTGGCTTCCCCAATCCACTTCCAATTTTACTTAAAGCCTGCTTACTCCAGTAGTTGAGTGGCAATTTTGGGAGTTTCACCCATAAGGGAATGTTTTCAGCACTTCTTCGTTGAAATCAAAGCTCTCCGACCATGGCCTTATTATCATTGGCCTGCTATTCAGTGTATAAGGCCCATTCAGCATCACATCCTCTCTCTCTTCAGTGTTGCTTAACAGTATGATGAAGTACCCATCGTTATGGTAGAGCACTTTAGGTTTCTGAACATTAGCCCATTGGTTAGCCTTGAATCTCTTAATAGCTCTAATTGATGGGGTATTCCCTACCACATAAAGTATAACTGCTCGATTCCACTTTTGGTTCTCCTCTTCGATATCCTCTTCCATCAATTGTACCACTACTTCACCATCCTTCATCACAGGAGGTATGTAAGTTAGATTCATACCTTTTGCTGCCATTTTATTCTCTTGGAAGAGTCCTGCCCATGATCTACCCTTATCCACTGCTGGATCTGCTTTTTTCTGCTGAGTTTTGTTCTGGTTATCAATCTCTGAGATCCTCTGCTCCTTTGGTAGACTTGCATGCATTGTTCCATTGGTCTGGACCTTGCTCGAGCTCGGCTGCTCACTTACATTTAGCACTGCAACAATTCCTTTACCAGAGTTCACCATAGGTGTCAATTGAATGCTAGAACTCACCGGTGCTACCATTTTGACTCGATTATTACCCAGATCCGGCCAATTTGGATCACTGTCACTGTCCTGGTCCAAATCTTCCTCTTGCATTTTCTCCTTTGCTTTAGTGTTTCGCTTTCCTTGCTCGCGTGTGATGATGTCCGTCAATCTCCTCTCTATGACTGGTGTTTTGCTGGCGTTCTTCTTCGCTCGTCCTCTTCCTCCCATTTCCGGTGGCGTAGGTTAGCAGTCACCTAACATGCGCCGGGAGAAGAAAAGAGGAGAGAGAAAATTCTTGGCGATTTACTGCCAACTAGTATTGTAATTATTACAGTTGTTTATATATATTTAACTTATTCATCCCTTTTATTTTTTTAATTGGGACAATGATGACATGAATTGAGCTTAAATGGAAAAGTGATGATTCATATATTCGAAACCAACTTGCTTGGGATTGAGGCATAATTGTTGTTGTTATTGTAAGTTGGGGTGGAGGTACAGTATCCCCTAGGGTTCGGATGAACTCATTAGCTTTTGCTTAGACCCGGTATTCATGTTAGGAAATTCATTAAATGTGCATAACATTTAATTGTAAATCCAGTAACTAAGACGAGTTATGGGCTCGATGGCAAGTTTAGAACCTATAAACTTTTCTGGCTCCGCCTCCGGTTGTAAGGTAAAAATAACAGTTTGGGTATCTTAAATTTAGATGCTATAGAACGTCAAGATAATTTAGATGTACATAAACATTTTGGCACTCAAAGAAGCAAAGGTTTCTATAGTAAAGACGCTTATAAGATGTATGCTTTAGTGCACAAAACAAACAAGAAGACTGTAGATGCATGAAAGAATGTGCTGTAAAGTCCTGATTCTTTTACATTGTCAAAAAAGCTTGATACCAGTATAATGTGTTGTAAAGGCTTAAATCCCAGCGGAGGCAAAAATAGTAGGTGATTTTTTTCCATATGTCCAAGCCTTAGTGGACAGAGTTACCCAGTACCTGTGCTGGTGGGACATAACAGGTACCTTGTGGAGTTAGTTGAGGTGCACGCAAGTTGGGTCGGATACCACGGTTATAAAAATAAGTGCTTTAAAGCCATGTACTCTTTCCCTGCTAGTCCTACGACTAGTAATCTGAAAGGTCAAATGCCAAGTCCTATTCTTTGTTTTCCCTAGCAGACCAAATTATGACTCTGGTTTTGTTTCTGAGGTCATATCACTTCTTTCTTTTTAGAGTGTATTCTAATTCAGACACTATGCTTGGAGGACAAGAGAACCCTAAGGATTTTAGCATGAAAGGAAGTTCCTTCTGGTATTTCATAAATGATATACAATTAATGGGAGTGTTGAGTCCCACATCGACAATGAAGGGGATGGATGGTCTCCTTATATGGACTTGGGCAATCCTCACCTCTTGAGCTAGTTTTTGGAGTTGAGTTAGGCCCAATGTCCATTTAACATGGTATCAGAGCCACTCTGTGTGCAACCTTGAACGGTGGTAGGGTAAACTGAGTCCCTAGGGGGGGGGGGTGTATGTGACACCCTAGGCAAATCCCACATCGACAAAATACGGGAGAGATGCTGGGTATATAAGTAGACATGCCTTGACAGGACCTTTTCTCGAAAAAAAATTCTTGCAACTACGAAAACCTTAGACTCTAGTGACGCGTTTTAAACCCGTGAAGCCCTAGGCCGAAAGCGGACAATATCACCAGCGGGCTGGGATGTTACATATGGTATTAGAGAAGGACCCATCCCGATTTTCCGATGTTGGGCCCCATAATTGTCCACGCTCCAGATGTCCAGTCCTGGGCGTGAGAGGGGGTGTTGAGTCCCACGTCGACAATGAAGGGGATGGGTGTTCTTCTTATATGGACTTGGGCAATCCTCACCTCTTGAGCTAGCTAGGTTTGAGTTAGGCCCAACGTCCATTTAACTGGGAGAAAGTAAGTATGCAGGAAACTATTATGCATTTTTTTCTTTGACTAGTTGACTGCAAATTAGCAAGTAAAACCTACCTTGACCTCGGAAATTGGATCTCCCAATTTATGAGTCTCCTCCTTTGCTTTGTTGTATCTTTCAATCACCGATTTCATGCTGTCAAAATAGCAAAACTGTTCAGATTTGTCTGATTGATGTGCTGACTTGAAAGGTATTCATATACATTGATCATTGCAGTGTCATAAAGTTGTTATGAAGTACCAGTTGCTCTGTTTTCTTTATCATCTATCCTAGGCAGACACTCATGACATGAAAAAAAAGAGGAGGAAAATTTATTCTACATCTAGAAGTTTCACATTGCATCAACTTCACCCATACTTGTACTAAGAATTATCTACTTTGTGAATTAGGATAGAAACAATTAAATCAGTCAATGTTCATCAAGCCTCTCACTAATGTATAATGGCCTAACTTGTAGTCTTCTTCTTCTTTTTTCTCCTAGTTACTTGAGCTTGGAGAAATTGCATGAAAAAGCTTAACAAAGTGAATGGCTACTGTTATTGAGTTCGCTCTGAAATTGGGACCTACAACAACAACAACAACAACAACATCCCAGTGAAATTGGGACCTACATATAGGTTTTTCTCTTCCGCCTGTTATTCTAGCTTCATTCATCAATCAGTATGGATCAAATTGCTGAGTCAGTTTTGGTTAAAGAAAGCATGTTCTCATTGTTTATAAGAAAGCAAGTTATGTAAATATCATATTATTTTCTCTAGGCAAGTAGCTATTGTTCGTAATTTTTTTCTAATCACTAGTAACGGGTAAATGGTTACCTACTATCTGCCTTTCAAAAAGAGCAATAATGTTGCCATTGCAGAATGAAAACCACTAATGCATGGTAAGCTTTAGAATGTTGTCCAAAGAAATTTTTTCCTCTAGAATTCCTTAAACTTTAACTGATGTAACATCAATTGAATACTGAAGAGAAGACTGTTAAGCCCCCCCCCCCCCCCCCCCCCCCCAATATTATTTTAAGATACTGGGTTGGGCTGTTTCGGGTACAATGTCCTAATGAATTGTTAAATTTGTTTTCAAATCTTATTCATCAGTATAAGTAAATTATTGCTTTCGTCTTGAATTATTTTGTAGTAGCTATAATATCTAAAGAAAAGGTCTTATACACACTTTCTATGTTGCTTTTTGACCTTTAGAAGAACGGATAGATGAAAGACTCAGGAAGACTGGATTAGTATTGCGTGTTGAAACAAATAAGGCATGGCATGGACCTCCTTGCGGAAGTAGGAAAAGAAATATCTTTAAATGTTATCTTGAGAGAGGATAGAACATGTCAAACTCTCCTCTTTTGGGCCACAAACGTCTTATGTAGTTTCCTCTGCATTTCTAGCATAGCTTACGTATAGGCAGGTGCTAATAAAAATAATGAGAACCAGAATGCGAGGAACATCAGAAAGGGTGTTTATTGTAAACTTTTATTTCCTTTTCGCTTATTTCACGCTTCTTTCTTGTTGTGTCTATTTCTTTCCACTTCTCTGTATGTCTCTATGAAGAGATGTTTCTATAGACCCCATGCTTGTGAAAGATATTACATTAGCAGTAGATTGGTATAAACCGTATAACTAGAAGTAGAACATGGAGTACACGTGTATGTGACAGTACATGTCTGTTATGAATTCTGTGACTAGATTTGTAATGACCAAATACATTATGCTTCATATAATGTCAGAGAGAGGCGGAAAGTTTGTTCTGGACTACATACATCGCCAGCTAAGGACAAACAAAAGGTAGTAGCCGGATTGGAGAGCAAATTAGGCAGAATTTGATATTACTGCACTTTATGTGGGGTTTTTATTGTTGTAAATCTTAAATCTTTACAGTTCAAGTAATTGTTAAAGCAATGTGACGCTGAGAAATGGGTGTAGATAAGATCTAAAACTGTTCAAGAGGATTTGGGATTTGATTTTGAGTTACCAACTCTTCTATCCAATTGTAGTTATAGTGTCACAGTGACAGATTTGGGGACACAACCTAAGCATGGCTTCAGATTACTGTTCAGTTCAGAACAAACTTTTGTTCTCTTATGCCGCAGTATAGGTGGCATAATCTTTCTTCTGCTTTTGCATATAAGATGTTGTAAAAGTAACGCTTTATGGTTACTGAGGACAACTAACAAAAGAATACTTGTGCTGACTCTCTCCCCCTCTCTATCAAAGAGGTTTAGATAGAGAAACACATTAAGCATGATAGTAGCCTTATACTCAGGTACAAATACATTCACTTAAAAATTGCATAACTACTGCCAATTTGGGAATATCATACAAGTCAATAGCAAAATCTAGCAACATTTAGTAGAGTATATCATCTTCCACCTTATAAATCATCCCATTATATTGTGGAGAATTCCAATCAAATTTATACTCTTGAGAGATTTTTAAGGTCGTGGTTGAATTATTTGTTTGCTTAAGTTCTTCTAGTGAACTATGTTCATTCCTGTCTTAAACTATTCTTGATGGCTAGATGACAAATCAAACTTTATAATTATCCAAGGAGAAACAGAAACTGATGAACAAGTATGTGATCCAATGTCATCATTGGACATGCACAATTCATAATGTGGTGTAATAACAAGGAACAACATACAGTGCTAGGTGCATATAATTCATATGTGTTGTTACAGAATGTAAAATCTGTAAATCGGCATGTAAATATATTCCTTGCTTGTATAGCTAACAAAATCATATGAGTAGATGTGTAGGATGCTTCCTTTATTTGTTTTGATTTGTTTTCTTTGGTAGAGTCTCTTATGTAGTTGCACAAATATCTTTTTTGATTTCTTTCCTTTGCTAGTCTCTTAGATAGTTGTATAAATATCTTGTATATGCATAGAAACACAGAAGACTGCATCAAGTTGGTACAAGAGTAGGACAGATGACAATCCTAGACAACAAAAGACTCAAACATATATAATGTTTTAAGGTACAAACTTTTCTCCCAACCAGAATACTAGATTCTGGATACATCTATATTTAGCACAAGCAATGGATTCTCTCTTCCTTTCGAGCTATACTGTTATGCAGTACAATTAGATATAGTCTTCCATGTCTTCTTTAGCCTCTTCTTTACATGTTGTGCTTTTTCCATTACATAATAAACCTCTTAAAGTTTGTGGCGTTGTCTAAGATACCCCAAATACATTTAAGAATAAACTCCAGATCTGCCATGTATGATGGCTATGCAAGCGCAAATGGTCTACTGATTCTGAGGACCTACAGAGAAAGAATCTGCTACACAAGTTGAAGCCTCTTCTCTGAGGCCTATCCTGAGTTAAACAAGCATTATGAGCTGCTACCATCCAAAACATGTCATTTTAGGTGGTAGTCTTCTAAATTATCTTCCATGATTCACCAGAATTTTCCTTCAGCATTTTGTAACAAGAGCTGATAGGAAATTAGATCATTATTTTACTTCTACACTATTGAATCTTCCATAGATCCATGTATCTTCATACTCAGGTCTGTAAGGATGACATCTAATACACTATTAACGAAAGATATTATTTTTTTCTTTGCACGCTTAGCAGCCACACCCATCTTTGCATCCAAAGGGAGCCCCGAATGTTTTGTAGGAAAAGTTTCTATTTTACAGTCAAGATTCCCATCTAACTCAGCAATAGAATCTTCTGCATTAACAGAGAAGAAAAAAAAATACTACTGGACAGATTGATCTTCAGCCTAGAAAGAGCTTCAAAAGCCAGCATAATCAGCCTCAAATATAGAAATTGCTTCTTGCTAGCTTCACATAATAATAGGGTATCATCAGCATATAGTCCATGTGAAGCCTTCGCCTGTTGCCTTCATTATCGTTAATGCTGTTAGGATTGAAATAACAAGTGGTATTAGAGCCTTGGTTATTTATCCGGAATTTTTACGGAATGAAGGTGAATATGAGCAAGATGGTATAGTTGGGTGGGAGCCACTATAATGTTTGGAGAAGCAAGATGAAAGATTTGTTGTTTATGAAGAAGATGCATCTACCCGTTTTTGCAGCTCATAAATCTGAGACTATGTCTGATGAAGATTGGGATCTCGAGCACCAACAAGTATGTGGATACCTACGACAAAGGGTTGAAGACAATGTTCGCAACCATATTGTGGATGGACACATGCAAGATCATCGTGGGAAAAGCTAGAGAGTGTTTATGCTTCAAAAATTTAAAAGTTGTTCCTGCTAAAATAATTGATGACCTTTAAATACAAGGAGGATAGTCATATTCTTGATCATATAAATAATTTTCAGTGTCTTTGATCAGCTGTCTGGAATGTGAGTTAAATTTGATGATAGATACAAAGACTTTGGCTTCTTGAGAAACTTTTCGTGTTTCTTTGACAAATTCAACTCCTAGTGTTGAGGTGACCATGGAATATGCGAAGTGTATTGTGTTGAATGAGGAAGTAAGGAGAAGATATTAGTGTTCGTTCTCACAAGCAGATGTTTTGGTTATAGAAGATCGGAGGAGAGATAGAACAAGGGTTCGAGGAATAGAGGTAGAAGCAGAAGTAAGTCAAGGTCCAAATACCAAAATTATTCGTGCAATCATTGTGGCAAGAAAGGACATATCAAAAGGTTCTGCCACAAGTTGAAGCAAGACACTATAGAAGGAAAGAAAGTTAAAAATAACGAGAAGAATATTTCTGCTATTGTTCGAGATGACTTTCTTTTTGCTTATGATGAGAACGTCATCAATTTGGTATCCCATAAGACGAGCCGGATATATAGTAGATTCTGGAGCTATCACATGTCACACCAAGAAATGACTTTTTCGCATCTTATACTCCTATTGACTCTGGAGTGTAGATGGACAATGCTAGTGAAATTAAGGTGTTTGATGCTTGCAAAGTTTGTCTGAAAACTAATAATGGTTCAACGTTAGTACTTCAGAATGTCAAGTATGCTCTAGACTTTCCTTTCAATTTGATATCCGCGGGAAGATTAGAAGATGAAGGTTACCATAATGCGCTATTTAATGTCTAATGGAAGCTCATCAAGGGCTGATTAATAGTAGCTCGAGGAGCCAAGTCTTCTCATTTATATGTGACACATAGCTCTATTTTTAATGACTCCATAAATTTGGTAAAAAGTGACACTTTATCAGCATTGGCATAAAAGACTGAGTCATATGAGCGAGAGAGGGATTACGTGTTTGGCGAAGAAAGTTTATTTTTTGGAGTGAAACAAGCGAAGCTGAAAAGGTGTGTCCATTGTTTATCTGGCAAATAGAAAAGGGTTTCTTTTCATAGTCATCCTCCTTCAAAAAATCCTGAATTATTGGAGCTAGTACACTCTGATTTGTGTGGTCCTTTTAAAGTAAAGTCAAAAGGTGGTGCACTTTACTTTGTGACCTTCATTGATGATCATTCTCGCAAGCTCTAGGTATATCCTTTAAAATCCAAAGATTAAGCATTTAGCATGTTTAAGGAATTTCATGCCTAATTAGTTGAGAGATAGACAGGGAAGAAATTAAAATGTATTCGCATGTCAATGGTGGTGAATATTGTGTACCCTTTGATAATTATTGCAGAGAGCAGAGAATTCATCATCAGAAAACTCCGCCCAAGATGCCTCAAATGAATGGTTTGGCAGGGAGGATGAATAAAACTCTAGTTGAGGGAGTTAAATGCTTTCTTTCAGAGGCTAAACTTTCAAATATATTTTGGGCGGAAGCACTTAAAACTTTTGCTTATGTTATCAATTTATCTCTTACTGTTACTTTGGATGGTGATATCCTAGAGTTTGGTTTGCCAAAGATGTTTCTTAATGATCACTTGAGAGTTATTGGGTATAAAGCTTGTGTGCATGTTCCTAAAGATGAGAGACTAAAGCTGGATTTCAAAACTAAGCAGTGCATCTTTATTGGTTATGGTCAAAATGAGTTTGGGTATCATTTTTATGATTCAGTTGATAATAAACTTATTAGAAGTCGTGATGCATTATTCTTTGAAGACCAAACTATTGAAGATATTGACAAGGATGAGAATATAGATTCTCAGAGTAATGAGAGCTTAGTTGATATTGATCCAAAATCTATTGCTAAGGCGCTTATTGCACATGAAGGAACCCAGGACAATAATAAAGATAGTGGTCAAGATAAAATAATCATCAGAGTGTAGATGTTATGAATGCTCCAGTTGATGAAGTTGTGGTTGATCAGCAAAACAATTCCTGCTCAGGTAACTACGTCGAATGCTCCTGAAACATCTCTTAGAAGATCTACAAGGGAAAAGAAAAATCCATGTGTTATCCTCCTAATGAGTATGTACTTTTGACTAACATGGGAGAAACTGAGAGTTATGATGAAGTCATGCAAGATACTCACAAAGATCAGTGAGTAGAAGCCATGGAAGATGACATGAAGTCACTCCACGAGAATGACACATATGAGTTACTGAAACCGTGAAAAGGTAAGAGAGCTTTATCAAACAAATGGATTTTCAGAGTAAATCAAGACCAACATACCTTTGCGCCTAAGAAGGTGTTTGGATTGCCTTTTAAAAAGTGCCTTATAAGCTAAAATCCAAAAGCCATAAGTTGGTAATACCCAACTTTTGGCTTTTGGCTTATTTTTGTACTTTTCATGCCTAAAAGTAAGTGCTGTTAAGCACATTTTAACATTGCCAACACCACAAAAACTAGAAAAGTTCTTAAAAGCCAATAAGTACTTAAAATAAGCCAATCCAAACACCCTTTACATATAAGGCGAGGTTAGTTGTTAAAAGTTTTGTCCAGAAGATGGGAGTTGACTTTGATGAAATGTTCTTCCCTGTCATGAAGATATCTTCTATTCGTGTAGTTCTAGGCTTAGTCGCGAGTCTAAATTTAAAGGTTGAGCAGATGGATGCCAAGACTGCTTTTCTTCATGGTGATTTAGATAAGGAGATTTATGGAGCAACTTGAGGGTTTTGTAATTAAGCGAAAAGAAAACTATGTCTGCAAATTGAAAAAGAGCCTATATGGATTCAAACAAACTCCAAGAAAATGGTATTTGAAGTTTGAATCTGTCTTTGAAAAATAAGGGTACAAGAAAATTTCTTCAGATCACTGTGTATTCTTCCAAAAGTTCTCTGATGATGATTTTATTATCTTATTGCTTTATGTTGATGATATGCTTATTGTTGGCAAGAATAAATTTAGAATTGCAGTCCTTAAGAAGCAGTTGAGTAAATCGTTTGGGATGAAGGACTTGGGCCAACAAAAAAAATCTTGGGCATTCTAATGCATGGATACAGAGATAGAAATGAGTTATTTTTGTCCCAAAAACAATATATTAAAAAGGTACTCAAGAGGTTCAATATGAGGAAAAAGTGGTTAGTATTGCGAGCACGTGATTTTTGCTCGATGAAAAATACTCCTACAAATTCACAAAAAATAGATTTGTTTTTAATTATTGTTATAGAATTTTTAGGAATTTCTTGCTAATTGTTGTTTGCATTTTAGTTGCATGTTTAATATTTTTAAATTATAAGAAAATACCAAAAATGTCTAAAATAGTCATTGCATAACATTTTAGGTTTATTTGCATGTATGAATTAATTACCTTGAGTTAATTGCATTATAAAGCAAAAATCATAAAAAATGGTCATTTTTATATATTTAGCCTTTAGTCTTTAAAAATTAGTATTTTTCTTTAGTTTTAAGTTAATTAGTTATTTTAATGATAGAAATAGATAAATAATTTTGATTATTACAAATTAGATTGATTTAGGATTAATTTAGGATTTTATTAGATTTTAAAATCAAAGAAGAAGGAAGAAAAAATAAGAAAAGGAAAAGGGGCTGTTTTGGGCCAAATCTTCCCTAAAAAGCCCAAATCCTAAAATCTGCCCAGTCCAAACCGCCAGAAGCCCAAGCCCAAGCCCCAATCCGGTCCAAATCCCCCACCAACCAAACGACCCCATTTTGGTTATGAGCAATCCTGGCCGTTGATTCTTTTGGATCTAACGGCTAGGAACTAACCTTCCCCAAGCTATAAAATTGTCCTAACACTCCTAACCCCTCCAGATTCGCAACATGAGGGCCGTACCCTCGACCCTTCACCAGGTGCTAAAATTCTCAATGCTAGGAGGGATTAAAACGATCTACGGGGAGCAACCGGCCGCAAAGGAAATGTTTGCAGTCGAAGAAGTGATTACGGTATCAACACTGACAACATTGAAGGAACCAAGTTCGAACACAAAGCAGGAAACTAAATAGCAATTATCGACACCAGCCACGACCCAATCGTATAAACAGGGGACCAACGAAGATGATGATTTTATGGGGTTCCCAGATCTTTTATAGTACCCGATGATTCCGATGCTACAAAATCAACAATCGAAGAGCTGGAGCAAGTTACATTGATCGAGCGTCTACCCAATCGGAAGGTATACCTGGGCACGGGGTTAACCTCCGAGCTCAGGAAAAAACTCATTCAATTTCTCATAGCTAACATAGATTGTTTTGCTTGGTCCCATCTCGACATGACAGGGATCCCACCGGAGATCACCACTAACAAGTTAAGCTTGGACCCGAAATTCTATCCGGTCAAGCAGAAAAGGAGACCCCAGTCCGAGATCAAACATGATTTCATCAAGGACGAGGTAACTAAACTCCTTAAAATAGGGTCCATTGGGGAAGTCAAATACCCAGAATGGTTAGCAAACGTAGTAGTAGTAGTAGTCCCTAAAAAAAAGAACAAATTGAGAATGTGTGTAGATTATAAAGATTTAAGTAAGAGGCATGTCCTAAGGAATCTTTCCCTTTGTCTAACATCGATCGCATGATCGATGCCACGGCCGCCCACGAGATCCTCAGTTTTCTCGATGCCTACTCCAGGTACAACCAAATACGAATGGACCCGGAAGATTAGGAAAAGACCTAATTCACCATTAAGTATGACACATACTGTTATAACGTAATGCCATTTGAATTAAAAAAAATGCTGGTGCCACTTACCAACGCCTACTAAACTGGATGTTCGAAGAACAAATAGGGAAATCCATGGAAGTTTACATTGACGATATATTAGTTAAGTCTCTGCGAGCAGAGGACCATTTAAAGCATTTGCAGGAAATCTTCAGTATATTGAAGAAGTACAACATGAAGCTGAATCCGGAAAAATGTGCGTTCGGAGTCGGATCTGGTAAATTTATCGGGTTCATGGTATCCAATCGAGGAATCGAGATCAACCTCGACAAGATCAAAGCTATCGAGGATATCACGGTAGTAGACAACGTGAAGGCCGTGCAAAGGCTAACCAGGCGCATCACCGCCCTGGGGTGATTCATCTCGAGGTCTTCCAATAAGAGCCACTGATTTTTCTCGTTACTAAAGAAGAAAAACAACTTTAGATGGACCCCGGAATGCCAACAGGCCTTGGAAGAACTTAAGCGATATCTATCAAGCCCACCACTGCTTCACACGCCGAGGGCGGACGAACAACTATTCTTGTATTTGTAAGTATCGGAGATAGCGGTAAGTGGAGTCCTAGTTCGGGAAGAACAAGGTACGCAATTTCCAATTTATTATGTTAGCAGGACCATAGGTGAGGCCGAAATTAGATATCCTTACCTAGAAAAATTGGTGCTCGCTTTGCTAAGCGCCTCTAGGAAATTGAAACTGTATTTTCAGTTCCATCCTATATTTGTTGTGACAACTTACCCATTGCGAAACATAATGCATAAACCCGAACTCTCGGGACGATTGGCCAAATGGGCCGTAGAATCAGCGGGTACGATATTGAGTATCGACCCCGGACAGTCATTAAGTCTCAAATTTTGGCAGATTTCGTGGCCGACTTTACGCCTGCCCTAATACCCGAGGTCGAAAGAGAGTTGTTGGTAAACTCGGGGACGTCTTCGGGAATTCTGGACCCTCTTTACGGACGGTGCCTCGAACATAAAGGGGTCCGGACTTGGCATCGTATTGAAGACACCCACAGGAAATGTAGTTAAACAATCCATTAGAACTGTGAAATTGACTAACAACAAGGTCGAATATGAGGCCATGATTGCAGGTCTCGAACTGGCCAAAAGCTTGGGGGCGGAGGCGATCAAAGCTAAGTGTGACTCCCTCCTTGTGGTGAACCAAGTTAATGGAACGTTCGAAGTCAGAGAAGAACGAATGCAAAGGTACCTAGATAAGTTGCAGGTGACATTACATCGGTTCAAAGAGTGGACTTTTCACCACTTACCTCGAGATCAAAATAGCGAGGCCGATGCCCTTGCAAACTTAGGGTCATCGGTCGAAGACGACGATTTCAACTCGGGGGCAGTCGTACAGCTCATGAGATTGGTAGTAGAAGGTCACGCTGAAATAAACCCCACAAGCCTAACTTGGGATTGGAGAAATAAATACGTAGAGTATTTGAAGACCGGGAAACTGCCCTCACATTCAAAAGAATCGAGGGCCCTGCGCACAAAGGCAGCCCGATTCAGCTTGTCCGAGGACGGAACCTTGTTCAAAAGAATGTTTGATGGCCCGCTAGCAATATGTCTGGGACCGGGAGATATTGAGTACGTTATGAGGGAAGTCCATGAGGGTACCTGCGGAAATCATTCAGGCGCCGAATCATTGGTTCAAAAGGTAATCAGAGCCGGCTATTACTGGATCGACATGGAAAAAGATGTGAAGGAGTTCGTACGAAAATATGACGAATGCCAAAGACATGCTCCGATGATTTACCAACCTAGAGAACTGCTGCATTCGGTCTTGTCACCATGGACATTCATGAGGTGGGGAATGGACATCGTTGGCCCTCTTCTATGGGCGCCGGGTAAGGCTCAGTTTATCTTATTTATGATTGACTATTTTTGTAAGTGGGTTGAAGCACAGGCGTACGGGAAGGTCAGGGAGAAGGAAGTCATTGACTTCATTTGGGACCACATCATATGTCGGTTCGAAATGCCATCCAAAATCGTGTGTGACAATGGGAAACAATTTATCGGCAGCAAAGTGACCAAGTTTCTCGAAGATCATAAGATCAAAAGATTCTTATCAACACCTTATCACCCTAGTGGGAACGGATAAGCCGAATCGACCAACCAAACCATACTCCAAAACCTCAAAAAAAAAAAAAAGGTTAACCAACGCCAAAGAAAAATGGAAGGAAATCTTACCCGAAGTCCTATGGGCATAC